GCTTTGGAAAAAGTGCAGAAAAGAGCAACTCGAATGATAAAAGGGTTGGAACACTTTCCCTATGAGGAACGGTTAAGGCGCTTAGGGCTCTTTAGCTTGGAGAAACGACGACTGAGGGGTGACATGATTGAGGTTTATAAGATTATGCATGGGAAAGAGCAGGTAGAGAAAGAGGTACTTTTCTCCCTTTCTCACAATACAAGAACCCGTGGGCACTCCATGAAATTGCTGAGCGGTCGGGTTAGAACGGATAAAAGGAAGTACTTCTTCACCCAAAGAGTGATTAACACTTGGAATTCACTGCCACAGGAAGTGGTGGCAGCTACAAGCATGGACGGCTTCAAGAGGGAATTAGATAAGCATATGGAGCAGAGGTCCATCAGTGGCTATTAGCCACAAGGTATAGATAGGGACTCTGGGGCAAGTGATGCTCTGTCATCTTGGTGCTTGGGGGGGGTCAACAGTGGGAGGGCTTCTAATGTCCTGGCCCCACTGGTGGACCTCCTGATGGCACTGGTATTTCTGGCCACTGTGGGATACAGAGTGTTGGACTGGATGGGCCTTTGGCCTGATCCAACATTGGCATCTCTTATGTTCTTATGTTCTTATGTTCTTAATGTGAACCACTCAGAGCCCTCAGGGGGTGAGCAGTATACAAATGGAATGTAATGATGATGATGATGATGATGATGATGATGATGATGATGATGATGATGATGATGATGATGATGATGATACCTTCCTTTTTCTGCAAGGTCCCTACATCTGCCAGTATATCCTTGAGACACACCCCAAAGAGTTTACCCCCTTGAAGGGGGGAAGTTGCTAGGACTGATTTGGATACAATCATATTAAACACTGGAATTTTCATTCAGAGGGAAGCAGTCTCTGCGGACCTCAGTGGAACCATGCCTCTCCATGGGAAAAAAAACCCACGAAAAGCCCTCACCTTTTCGGATTTTCTCCCTCTGTTGCTGCAGAATAACGTGCCAGCCAATTTCAGCCCCAAACATGAAAATGCTTTGACGGATGACACTTTTAGGTTTATGAGCTCATAATTAGATTCTGCTTCCTACCAACCGAACTACGCTTTCAGGTGGCTGGTGCAGCAACCAGTTCACCAACCCAGGGGAATGTAAATATATGGCCAAGAAAACAGAGTTGGATCACTTACCTCCCCAAGAGTGCCTTTGTTCGGCAGCCCGCACAGAGGCTCATAAGCTGATTGCTTCCGGCTCACAAAATTCGCTCCTTTTGGCTGAGAAAGAGAAGAGAGAAGGAAGGTGAACTTGGATTACAGATTTGCAGAGCAGGCAAAATCAGTCAAAGGAGGTGTTTCATTTCACACCAAAAACTATGGTTTCCTTTACTGGGCATCTCATAAGCAGGGCTGGCTCACCCGCTAGGTGAACTAGGCACTCGCCTAGAGCGCGGGACGGCCCTTAGGGCACCAAACTGGACCCCAGTGCCATGTGGGGGTGGCTGTGGAGGCCCCCCCTCCTGCTCAGCCCCCAACCCACTGCTGGTGCTGGTGACCCAGGTGGGCGAGCAACAGGTGCGCGGGGGGGGAGGCATAGGTTCGGCGAGCCACACTGGGCATGTGCCACCACCACCACCAGCTGGGCATGTGCAGAGGCAGCCACAAGGTGCCCAGAACTGCTGCAAGGTGGTCGGTGGGAGCTCCGGGAGGTGCCGCGGAGGAGGGGGAGGAGGCTCCCACCGGGATTCATCCCCCGCCGCATGACAAGAACAGCCACCCTGCAAGGTGGGCTGGGTGGGGCCGATAGCAGAGGGGGGGCGGCAGCGGCAGGGGACTGGCCGGAGGGTTCTCGGGTTCCTTACACGCGTTTGTCCAGCCGCTGTTTCAAGACTGCCAGAGAGGGGGAGCTCACCACCTCCCAAGACAGCCGATTCCACTGTGGCACAACTCTGTCTGTCAAAAAGCTTTCCCTAAGATCCAGCCGGTCCCTTCCCGCCCTTAATTTAAACCCATTCTTGCAAGTCCTTCCTCTGCTGCCAACAGGAACAGCTCCCCGCCCTCCTCCTCTAAGTGACAGCCCTTCAAGAGAGCCATCCTGTCCCCCCTCAACCTCCTCTTCTCCAGAGTAAACATTCCCAAGTCCCTCAGCCTTTCCTCAGAGGGCTTGGTCTCCTATCCCACTTTTCCCTGTGACTCAAGGCAGTTTACAAATCATACTGAAAAACATAACGGCGGTGTGCAAAAAATAAATAAATCTTTTTCCCCCCCTGGTTCAGTTATAGCCTATGGGGAACATTATAGTTAATGGGCCCCATAGGCTATAATGGAGAATCACTCTAGGGGTATCTGGGGTTCGGGGGCGGGGCTGTTTTTTTAGGTAGAAGCACCAGAAGCACAGCTGCTGGTGCCTCTCCTCAACCCCCCCCCCAAGTTTCAAAAAGATTGGACCCGGGGATCCAGTTCTATGGGCCTCAGAAGGAGGCGCCCCCATCCTCCATTGTGTCCTATGGACCTTGGTTATGAGCTGAAGCAGAAAACCTCTGAGCTGGCCTCTGAAATGTTGTGCACCAGCGGGAGCTGTGGGTACAGTATAGCCAGACCCATTGTTATTAAATCTCTTTAATAAAAAGAGTTTGTTACTCTGCCTGAGTCCTCACGCCTCATTCAGACACTTATAATGGGGAAAAGAGTGTACAAAGGGGTAGGGTAGGGTGGGTGCTCTGGGCCCTCCCGAGAAGACCCATACCAGATTGGTGGCAGCCATTAGAGAACCTTTCAAGTTGCTGCCCACAACAGGGATACAGAAGCACAATGGTGGAAGAAACTGCCATCCAAACCCACGAACCGTATTGCTTGTCCAGGTACTTCCAGCTGGGTAGCTGTGTTAAGTCTGCTGCCATAAAAACAAACATCATGTGGTACCCACAGACTACAAGTTTTTAATCTATATATATAAAAGAAAGTCCCCTCACCGTAAAATCAATGCCCAGGCCAAACACCAAATTCAGGGAGAGCACTCCTACCATGGCGTAGATGCTCACTAAGAAGGGATTTTTAGAAATCCGACCCCTACGAGGGTCAAAAGGGGGAAAATGTGCTCCCCCCATTGATTCCTATGCAGCTGCCAGATGGCTGCCTCCTTGCACCTCCCACTCTCTGATTGGTCAGCTGCAGAACTGCTTCTTAAATGGACAGTGAGCGGCTCAGTTAAGAACAGTTAAGAACATAAGAACATAAGAGGCGCCAATGTTGGATCAGGCCAAAGGTCCATCCGTCCATCCGTCCAACACTCTGTCACACAGTGGCCAAAAATACCAGGTGCCATCAGGAGGTCCACCAGTGGGGCCAGGACATTAGAAGCCCTCCCACTGTTGGCCCCCCCGAGCACCAAGAAGACAGAGCATCACTTGCCCCAGAGCCCCTATCTATATCTTAGTTCTATGTGGCCTGCTCCAGGGTGAGCTCACCAAGCAGCCTGGTGATCCTAGCACCTGAGGGCAGAACCACCCATGTGGTCTACAGAGAGGTCCTTCGGTCCAGGGGAGGAGCTGTAAACAGTAGGGGTCAAAAATCCACAAAACGGCAGCAACAGAGTGTAATATTATTATGAAAAATTCAAATGCAATCAAGAAAAATGCAGTGGCCATTCTCAGCAACAGCCATGCGCAGTCTCCACTTTTTTGTGCTAACCTGGCAACACACGTACAATGACTGAAGAACCCCCTGGTCTTTGCAACCAAATTTCTTGGTGAACTCTCATTCAACAGATTCACGCTGGAGTCTCCCTTGAAGTCCTTTGGTTGAAGAAGAAGGACATCCGGGAGCGTGGCTGCCTCCTCCTGTCCGAACCGTTGCTGTGAGTGCTTTAGGCCATCCGTCGACAAGGTGAATCCTTGATCCAACCAAAAGTGAGAACGATTGTCATCTTGGTTCTGTCCTCAAACATGTTTTCCTGGCCAGCTACCAACTTCTTTCAGACATCACGGCAAACACTAGGCTGTACGCTCCGGGCGCCCACCCTGAACGCTGCTCTGCTCACACGCTCCACTTGTGCCTCCCCACCCACCCCCACCTAGCAGGTGCAGTATGATTGACAGTTCCTGGTTTGGGAATAGGGTTGCCAGGTCCCTCCTGGCTACCGGCAGGAGATTGTGGGGGGGGTAGAGTTGCCAGATGCAGGTTGGGAAATTCCTGATGATTTGGGGGTGGAGCCAGGGCAGGGCAGGGGCCTCATTGGGTAAAAGTAAAGGTTCCCTTGCTCGAAAGCCAGTCAAATCCAACTCTAGGGTTGCGGTGCTCATCTCCGTTTCAAAGCCGAAGAGCCAGGGCTGTCCGAAGACGTTTCCATGTTCATGTGGCCGGCATGAGTAAACACCAAGGCACACCGAAGTGGTACCTATTTATCTACTTGCAATTTCTTGCTTTCGAACTGCTAGGTTGGCAAGAGCTGGAACTAGAGACGGGAGCTCACTCCGTCCATGTGGCACACTCGGGTCTCGAACTGCTGAACTACCGACCTTCCACAGCCTGCAGTTCAGCGTCTTAACCACTTGAGCCACCGCAGCTCCAATTGGGATTACAATCCCAATTACAATCAATTGGGGTACAATGCCATAAAGTCCACCCTCCAAAACATCCCTTTTCTCCAGGGGAAAGTGACCTCTGTTGTTTGGAGAGGAGCTGTAATTCCAGGGAATCCCCAAGTCCCACCTGGAGGCTGGCATCCCTATTTGGGAAGCCTCAAATCAAGCTCTGAATCAGTGGATCTCTGAATATTAGCCTCTCGGCAATCCAGAGTTTCCTACCCACAAAGAGAAGTTTAGGTTAGAATACCTGTTTGTGAGGAGAAAACAAACTCCAGTTCACCCAGGGTGCCTGGAGAGATGCCACAGCAAAATGGAACTTGGCCTCCCAAAACAGGAAGCTTTCGATCATGCTGTGGGGAGGGTGGGTTGGGTGGAATGTTCATGCACTCGCTTGTCACAGACAAACCACTTCTGTCCCTCCCTTTCTTATTTACTGTGGGGGTATCTCGGCTGCAGCCTCCAGAACACCTGAGGGGCACAGCATTCCTGGACCCAGTTTCCCACCCTCTGCTGGAGCGAAAGCTGAACGAGAGAGACGCTGCATGTCTCCACATCTCTGGAACACAGCGTGAGAGGAAGGAGTCACCAAACACCAATCCACATCCCTGCTTTACTTTTGCATAGTGCGCCACGCTTCTAGTGACAACTTCATTTGTTTAAAATCTTTTGCTGCCCCAAGATTTATCCCTCCACTATAGTTTCTGATCTTCACTGAATACCAGCCATGCATATATTTTCTCATTAATACGATTTTATTTCGCTGCTTTGTGTTTCCTGAACCTATTATTTTCATAACTGTATTCTTCTCGTTTCTATTTAATGGGCGTTTCCTTTTTTCACTAAACCCACCCCCTGACAAAGTTATTCTAAGGATGAAAGACAATGATCCGCCAACTACAGCAAAACACCCAGCACATTGTTATTACTGGGACGCTATACACAGTTTTTAATTCCTACCATGTCTGCTAATCCCTACACAGCTTTTATGATAGCATTACTTCTAACTAAAGAAGAATCTCAGCTTTTGCAGTTTCAGCAGTACGAAACAGGCAACACAGACAAAATCTGGAGACAGAGAGGATCTTATAGTTCTGTTGTAGAACTGAAATGACAATGAAATCTAGATACAGCATGCTGATGAAATGAAGAAAAGATGAAAAATGTGTGTCTCCCACATTTTTATCCAACTGAAATGACAATGAAATCTAGATACAGTACATGATGATGAAATGAAGAAAAGATGAAAATGTGTGTCTCCCATATTTTTATCCTGCCTTGCTGAACTACCGACCTTCCACAGCCTGCAGTTCAGCGTCTTAACCACTTGAGCCACCACAGCTTCTTTATTATTATTACTGGGACGCTATACACAGAGTTTTTAATTCCTACCATGTCCGCTAATCCCTACACAGCTTTTATGATAGCATTACTTCTAACTAAAGAAGAATCTCAGCTTTTGCAGTTTCAGCAGTATGAAACAGGCAACACAGACAAAATCTGGAGACAGAGAGGATCTTATAGTTCTGTTGTAGAACTGAAATGACAATGAAATCTAGATACAGTACATGATGATGAAATGAAGAAAAGATGAAAATGTGTGTCTCCCATATTTTTATCCTGCCTTTGCTACAATGAGCACAGGACGGCATCCACCCTCCAATAACTGATGGTGGCATTAGGGAGGCTAC